TTTATTTTTTGCACTTATCAAAGTAAAATCAACAAAATTCTAATTGAAAAGTGGAAAAAAAATATCTAAAACATGTAATCGAATTTATCAACTCTACATAAAACTAGAAATTAGAAAAACAAAAACAGAAATGAATGAATAAAATATTAAAAACCTGTTTTAGAATTCATTTAATAACCCCGGTATATCATTTTGAACACATATAGCAAGAGCGATATTATAGCTATAATAATAGAGAGCAACATATAACAGCGCAGTACCGCAGAGCAATGTTATTAACAACATCATGGCGGCGGCGGCGGTTACCTACATAAAAATTTCCACTATCAACAACATTTCAATTACAATTTTTGTTATTTTCTTTTAATAAAAAAAAAAAACATTTCTTTGCTTTATTTCATACAAATAAATTTTTACATTTAAAACTTAATAATGAAAACCAAAAAAACAAGTAATAAAAAAAAAATAAATTCTATTAACCATAAACAATTAACTTTGCACCATTAAAGTAATAATGATTAAAAATGGAGAAACAGTTATAAAAACAAAATAATAAAAACAATAATAAAATAAAAATTGACATGAAAATAAACACAGTAATAAACAGTTAATTATTTGACCTTGCATTAAAACATCAAATGTGCAGGTAAACTTAATCGACCGCATAATTTAAAAAAAAAAAAAAAATTTTAAAGTTGAATGTTAAAATTTTTTAAAAATACAACCGTTAACAGGAATACCCGTAGATAAAAGGAAAGGGACAGAAAGAGAGTGTATGGAAAGAGAAGCGGTGGTAAAAACAAAAAAAAAAATTACAGTTATTATTTGTAAAAAAAATCACCATCAATCAGCTGTTCTCTTATTTCGTTTACGGTTTTGGCTTTCAAATTATTTTTATTTTTAATTTAAAAAACACAAAATACATGACTACTAAAAAAAATGACATAAATTGTCACAGTGATTTTCGCTTAATACATCAAAAATTTTAAAGTACAGTCGATTAAACCCTTAGTTTGAAAAAATAGCCCATGTTCAATTTAGATCTTTATTAGGACTGCATAACTATTACACAAACAACGCCTCGACCGCCAATTAAAATAATTTTCTTTCTGTAAATTAGCACACTTTCAGTAGGAATCTTGATGATTTTGAAAAAATAGTGGCATAAAAATTGAATTAGACTTCTAATTAATTTAGTAACAGGACAAAAGTATTTTTTTGTATAACAAAATTAAAACTGTTATATACTCGCTATCAAAAAAAGTTTAATGAAGCTTGTAGTTTCCGAAGAGATGACGAAAAATTGACATTTTCTAAATTTTGAATGCTTGAGATAATAAAGTAAAATATTTGACAACTACAAATCTACAGTTCAATTGAGTTCGAGTTGCCACACAGTTGATAATTTTGAAGTACAATGTTAATATTTAATAAATTACAGTAGTACATACCGGGCTCTTCTTTAAAAATATTGTAATTTTGATCTTCCATTAAACAAAAATCCAAATGATATTATTATATTTAAAACGAATTAATCGAATTTTAAGAGGTTTTTTTTAGACCAAATTTTTTTATTTGATAACGATACTCGTATGGGAATTGTTTTTTGTTTTTTTGTTATATAAAAATTAACATTCATAATACAAGTATATGTATTATGTTTTATAGATATAAAAAGGTTTTTGCAAAAAAAAAGGTGAGAAATTGATTGATTTCTTTGTATAACGAAAAAATTAAGCTAAATTTATTTGTTTCTTTATAATAAAGTCTGTAATTCAAATTAAGTGTGTGCAATGCATACCTATATAATAAGATTGATCTATAAAGATATTAACAGATATCTTAACGTTGTAATATTCAAAATTCGTTTATGTTGCCGCATTAATATGTTATTTTGCCGAAAATTAAACACAATCAAACAAGTGTATATCAAAACATGGTTTGAGCTGAAATTCGATAGTGCGGTAAATAAGATCATGTTGTATATTGTCTTTTTGGTTATAAGGATAAATTAACACGAAAGCAAAAACTTCTAATATTAAGTAGCCTAGTACACAAAATTGACAAATTCGAAAACTCGCGAAGATCTTCTATCAACAATACGATCTTCATCTCGCGTACTCCATCTTATTGTGCTTTAAATTTCTATCTGTGAATGAGTAATTAAAATAGAATTAGTAATAAAATTAAGTGAGTTATTTTTCTTAAATTTTAATATTTAAAATTTTACTTTTATTAAAATTTATTTATTAAAATTATTTGTACGTTCTCACTGGACTGGATTGTGTTCCTGTTATATAATTTTCAATATGAAAATAACTTTACTCATAAGAAAGTATGAACGATGAATCTGACAGATAAACCCGAAGAGAATGATGCGATACGAAATTTCACTTAATGTTTTTAAAATCAAAAATTCATTGCACTGAAATTTATTATGGAATTCAAGTGAATGTACTCAAAAATATTGACATAGCCTTACGAATTGTCAGTACAACTTTAAAAACAAAAATAATATTTTTTTTTGTTTTGCATTCGCATTTAAAAAAAAAGTTAAAAGACAAAAAATAAAATTAAATAAAAAAATGTAGGATAACCAACATTTCAAGAAAAATGTGATGGCGTGAAAAATTCATAATTTTTTTTTATTTTTTTATTTTTGAATGCTGCTGCTGTTAAAAAAATTTATTACATCATTATTGCAACATTCTTTTCACTTACTAATAATGCTAGAGCAAAAGCTTATATGTTGCGCTTGTTTTTTTTTGTAATTTTTAATATGACGTCTTATACATTATATATGTGTAAGTATGTCCATGTAAGTAATTAAATGAAATACTAAATGGGATTTGAACTATCTTTGTAAATAATTTTTTTTTAATTTTAACAAAAAAAAACATATTGAGCACATACTAAGTCTTATATGTTTGTATATTTGTATGTAAAATCCTATTTAGCATCGGCGCGCCGCATTAAATTTTTAACATGCTTTGTGTGGTGTTTTTTTGTTATCGCTCATATTTGATTGATTTTTCAGCATATTGTGCAATGATGAGTTAAAAACCGCAATTTAGAGCATACAAAAAATATTAGCAAAAAAAGAAAATTAAAGGTAAACAATTTTTGGAAACACAAAACAAGTTAAAGAAAAAAAAAAACAAAAACCTATTAAGAAAGCAAATCGATTAAAAATTATGGGTTTTTTTTTTATTTTTTACATTTTGTTTTTTTTTTGCTCATTATTGAACTGCACTGTATTTCTCCCACAAAATTCATAGATGATAGCAAAATAAATAACTAAATTGGTTTAGAAACAAAGAAAACCTGATTTAAAGATAAAGAAAGAAAAAAAAAAGTACAAACATGAAACAAAAAAGTTACCATAGTTAAAATTGGATGATTGATTGGACAGGTTATTTAAAGGTATGATGAAGTTTTTTTTTTTTGTAATTTTTGAGCTGTATTCCTATTCAGTTACAAAATTTACTATCACAGACTTTCAGATTTTGTGTAAGTACGCTCATGTTGCACTTAATTAAATTTTTTAAAATAACTTTTAGATATGCACAAACATGCACTTATAATACGTAAATATGTTGTTGGATATTAAACTTGTGCGGGTTTTTGCTAAAAAAAAATGATAAAAAATTAAATTAATTAAAGTTCACTTGTATTTAGAATTTATCTCAGGTAATGTTCCTGTAACACTAAACAAAATGAGATGTCAGAAACCTGTTGTGTGAAAACGTGTGACGTTCTTCCAAAAACAAAAGCGTAAATAATTAGCTATTATTGTAATAATAAGGGGTATTGATAAAAGATGAGAGCTGATGATTAACATAATTGATTTCGAAAAGTAAAAATTCAGAAAAAACAAGTATAAATTTTAAGTTGATAAATTTTATGGTGTTATTTAAATATTAATATTACGGGTAAAATACCATTTGAACATCATGGTCCTAAATTTAAAAATTTTTATTCACCAAATAATAATCATAATCAAATCGAATGAAAGAATTCACTTATTATGCATTAAATGTGTACAAATCAATAAATAAGTCATTAAAGTATTAAGAAAATCGAACCTACTTTTTTAAGTTCTTGTTTTTTTTATATAAATCTATTGTGAGATTCGTTTCAAATAATTTTATCTAATAATACATTGGTACATTGGTTTCAATTATTATTTTCTTTCCATCCATCATTATCAAGATTTAATATCTTCTTATAAAAAACCAAGGCCATAATATCCATTTCAATAAAGATGGTGGTTTTCAATGATTGCGTTCGGTACAAAAATTTTAGATAAAAAAAATCACTGATGTGAAAATAACGCGCTTTTTGGAAAAAAATTGCAATATGACAGAATTTTTAACATTTTCTTCTAAATTAGCATTTTATCTTATTTTTATTTGTAAAAAATATTAATTCTCGAATATTTAATTGGTATAGTTTTTTTATGGAAAATATATGTAAGTATATCCGTATTCAACGTTTGGTCGGATTATTTGATAAGAAGTTGCTGCATAATCTTTTCAATTTTGTTATTTTTCTTTAACCGGAAAACGATACATCTGTCATTTGCTTAATTAAAATATTAAAAGCAATTTGGTGTATCATCATGGAACTAGAATCTGTTATCATTTTGATTTTTTTTTAATATTTTGTTAATTTTGATTTTATTTTCATATTTTTAATTAAACAGATATTTATGTAGGTTAATAATTAATCTTAAAATAAAAATAGAAATATGTTAATCTGCCGGAAAGAATCTTAAAAAAATAAAAATATCCAGACGTAAGTTCAGGTTAACAAGTTCAAAATCTAGTTGTAACTAAAATAATTTTTGAAATGATTTAGAGGTACATTTAACTTACTTGACAAATTAATTATAATCTTACATTTTCATTTACGATATCAATTATCATGAAAATATTTAAAATATTAAAATGCAAATTTAATTAAATAAACCAATTAAAATGTTAATAATATTTACTTACCTTAATTTATTATTAGCACCAGATGATGTAATGTCAGTTCCACCAATTGGCATTCTTGGTTTAAGTGGTGGAGGTGATTTTACATTATTTCCAGATAAATGTGAACGTGATTGTGAATTACTATCATTTTGATAATTTAATTCAATTGGTTTAAGTGGAATATTTGGAGTTGGATGTGGTCTTTTTCGTAATGACATTCTTACATCAATATTCTTTTGTAAAGCACTTAAACCTCCACTGAAATCTAATAGTGTTGATTGTGATGATGATGATGGAAAAGCATAGTTTGGAATTGTTTGTTGATTTAAAGGTTGAGAATGTTCAAGTTTTCCATTAAGAATAACTTTATGAGTACTGCTAACAAGCATTTGTTGTTGTGATAAACTAGATGGAGGTCTACTACGAACAATCTCAGCATTAGCTGGAGCACCAGTAACTGTAGGAGATTGCTGTTTTTGAGGTACTGACGGTGGTGTTTCATTTGTTCCAGGCTCTAATGAAATCGGAGCTGGTTTATATGATTTTTTACCATTACAGGAACCAGCAAAACTATTTCGTCTACTTGGTGTTTTTGTTTCATCATTTGATGCTTGTCTAAGATGACGTAAAATTTCTGGAGGTGGTGGTGGTAACGGCTCATCTAAATTTAATAAACTGTTATCAGTTTCTATATTTGCAACAGGCGGAGGTGGTAAATCTGGACTTGGAATTCGTAGTTGAGGGTTCTTTGGTGGACGTTCTGGAACCCAATCATCAACTGAAATAATTGGTCCCATTATCATTGGACCTAAAAGATCTTTTGAGAAATTTTGTTTAGTTTTCAAATTTTTATCACGAATTGCTGCATGCTCAGAAGCTGAAGATGTACGTCTGACAGGCATTGAAGTTTTACCTCTAGGAGGAGGAGGTGGTGGTGGTACTCCACAATCATTAAATGATGATTTATCTAGTTTTGCAAGGTTTTTAACAGTCGTAATTGCTGGTATTTGATTTTCTTTTGAGCGTAAATAATTATCACGAAGGTCTCCATAATCTGAGGCAGATGATGATCTTCTAACTGGCATATAAGATCTTGAACGGGGTGGAGGCGGTGGAGGAACATTATTACCATTTGTTATTTCTGCACTCGATTGAAATTCATTATCAATTGATGTTACTAATTGTTGAGGAACTAAACGTTGGCAACTTTGAGCTTGTTGATGTTGACTAATTATCATATTTGTTGAATTAAGGCCTCTTTGAGTATTTTGTTGTTGTGATTGTGATGTTACACTACTTGAAATTGTAAAAGTGTTAGGTAGTGAATTTCTTACGTGGGTTGCAATCACTTCTTTTGGTGAATTTTGCGGTTGCAATGAATGAGGTCGTAATAAATTTGTTGCTGGTAAATAATTTTTAAATGATTCTTTTGATGAATTTAATTGCTGTCGCTCAAAGTAAGATTGCACAGCATTTTTTTGTAATGCTTTTAATTGTGGGTTTGGCACACGATGAATTTTATTCGGATCAATATATGTAAATTTTTGTTGTTGTTGTTGTTGGCTTATAGATATCAGTGATTGCGCTGTCGATGCTGTTAATGTTGTTGATAGATTTTGTGATGGCGATGATGAAGGAATTATTTGCGATGGTACTGGTGATGGTGATGATTGCTGATGAAGTGGTTGTTGTGTATTTGTTGTTACACAATTATTTGTAGGATTTACTTCAGTTGTGTTTGTTAGTCCATGATAATGATGATGATGCGCTGATGCAACAGTTATTGAAGAATTTGGTAGATAAGTTTGCTGTTGTTCATAACTATTAATACGATCTGCTACCGATTGCCAATAATTATTCGACTTTAATGACGAAAGATGTCTGTAAGTGATATAATAAATTTCAATATTAATGTTATCAAGTAAATGAACTTATTTGAATGAAATTTTTAATGATGGCTGAAATGATGCACATATAAGAAAATTTAAATTGGAAATGTGAAGATATACTTACTTAAGTTGGCTTGGATTCAAAGTTGCCTGCTGACCGTGATGATGGTGGTGATGGTGATGATGCTGTTGTTGCTGATTAAGTTGATTTTGTTGACCATTTCTTAAGGCATTTTGAACTTGTTCATTTTCCACATAAGTGCTTACTGGAAAAAGTCTATGATTATTTCGGTATGAAGTAGAAGATGATGATGATGAAGCCGATGACAAAGAAGAAATTGTAGAAGATGATGAAGATGTTGTTGTGGTAGTTGTTGTAACACTTATAATTAATGTTGATGATATAGGTGAAGGAGATGACGGCGGTATTAGAGATGATGACGATATTAAAGAATTATTAAGATCTTCAGAATGCTGTTTTCCTACAACGGATGATAAGGATGCTAAAACTTCTGCTGTTGACACACATGATACAGGAGAACCTAACGAATTATTACCATTTAAAATTGATGTAACTGAGGATGACACTGACGGAATATTTATTGATAATGAAACTGGTGATGTAGTTAAGGAATCTATTATTTTTCCTGAAGATACGGGTGAGTGTAGAGTTTGTGATATTGCTGTACTTGTAGTAATATTATTTAATGTTTGATTACTACTACAATTGCTACTAATGCTACTTCCACTACTATTGCTATCATTATTTTGATTGTTTCCATGTTGTGAAATTGTCATTTGATTATTTGAAATTAATGAAGATGATGTTGTTGCTGTTGCTGCAGTTGTAACAATACCTTTAAGCATTGATGTTGGTGATACTTGCGGTATACCACTTGTTTGCATCAATTTTATTTGATGTTGTTGTAATTGTTGTTGTTGTTGTTGTTGCTGTTGTTGTTGTTGTTTATGTTGCATAACCGTCATCGATTGACTTTGATTCAAATATGAATGTAGTTGATGATTACTAATATATTGATTATTATGTTGTGATTGTTGTGTTACGGATGGTAATCCACAATTATTGCTATTTATTAATAATTGCGATGAATTATTTATTTTTGCATTTGAATTTATTTTATTATTTAAATTTGTTGATGAACAAATAAATTTTGTATTTGATAATTGATTATAATCATTTGAACTTATATTATTATTACTAATACTATTCACAGCCGTTTGATCTAATTGAAGGTGTTGATGTTGTTGTAAATTTGATTGTTGTAATTGTTGATTTTCATCATGCATATATAGTACACTCTCACTGTGATGTCGTTTTGGTGTACGTACTCTTGAACTATGTACTATTAATTGAGATGTTGATACTGCAAAATAAATACATATACATATATAAATACAGTTTTTATAAGAAAAGTAATGTTTATATAAATTTCAAAAAAATAGTAGTGAAATAATAAATTTAAAATAATAATAAAGTGGAAAATTTAAATGCTTTTAGGCGTTCCAATAATATTTATTACTTCAACTGGGAATGTTATTCCTTGTTTTTTTTTTGTTATTGTTGTTTGTAACTGCATACTTTCTTTTTAATTTATGCCACAGTTAATTGAAATTGACATTTATTACATTTTTGTAGACACATACATACATACATTCACTGAATGTGAATTTGGACTATTAAAAAAGATTTTTCTTGGAAAGAAAAAAGGAACGAAAAATATGCACTACTAGACATTTCGATGCAATAAATGTCATTTTTGAAAATGAAAATGTTAAAAAAAATTCCATTTTTTTTAACATTTCATTCCAAGTGTTAATTTTCATTTGTTGGTTAATTTTTTTTCTTATTCTTTTGTTTTTGGAATGGTTTTTTTTTTTTGGAGGGTTCAACATCTGAATATGAAATTTATTTGAATTCAACCTACACGAATATAAAAACGCATAAGATCTTGTATATTATAAATTATGCTGAATTTGTTTGTACATACATACATACATGCTTTTGTTTTCTGATGCCTTTTTATTTTTTGCATATTTTTTTTTTTTTTGCGCTTTAATCAAGCTTTAAATGGCGCCTTTTTAGATTAATGTCACCATATATAATTGTGTACACGTTATTACGTATGTCAATTGAGAAACATACATATAAGGTTGTATGTACGTTTAGTATAGATAACTACATAAGTGTGTCGACATTGTGTAGAAAAATGTATAATTAAAAATGAGCATTTGTTAAAATCAATTCCAATTCAAAAGTTTATTTATGATAATTTATTTTTATTTATTTTTTATTAGTAAGAGCGAATAATTGGTTTGCATTTTTCTTTTTTCAGATTGTTTTCAATAATAACAATTTATTATTGAAAAAAAACGCAAAATGATAAAATATTCATGTGTCTATATTTGTATAACCGTACATATTTACATATTCGTAAGTGGATATGTGGGAGATGGCGTACGATATATTTTTCTACTTGTTTGCTAATTTTTTTTATATTTTGTCATTTTATAGTTGGTTATTTTTTTTGGCCGGCATTGATTTAAATATGGATACAAAATTATTTTAACATAGATTTCATATAATGTGGCGAATTGTATATGTATATATATATATTTACGTAATAATGTGTATTTTCATAATAGTCTAAATAAAATGAAATAAATTTAAATAGAGGCGAAATTCCTAAGATATTTAGGAATCAATTATTATTTTTTTTAAGTAAAATTGCTATTTTTACTTGATTACTCTTGTAGATTATAGATCACTACTGTAGCCTTGGATAATGGTCTATTCGTATAATTATTCAAATGTTTTAATATTAATTTTCTGTTCGTTTTATTCTTCAAATTTTGTAAAAGATTTGCAAGGTTTTGTTAAAAAAGCATGTACTTTGTTGAAACAAAAAAAATAGCTTAGAAATTTTTACTCTCTTTTTCTCTTATTCTGTCGAATTTCATCTATTTTTTAATAGAAATGAACATTCCCAATTACTACCGTAATTATTGGGAACAGTTTGCCAATCCTGTTTCGTATAAAAAATCTTCTTAGAAAGAAATAAAAATTAACCTGTAAATTTAAATATAAATGATTTGACACTGTTTTCGAAAAATTGAAATGTCAAACTCATCTTCCGCTTTAAATGTGTAACTACACCCCTTTCAAAGAGGCTTAGTATGGTTAATGATGTTATACATTTTTTAAACTGTTATATACCCTTAAAAGGAACGCAATTTTAAAAATTTCAAGAGTATGATATAAACTAATTGATTTTTTAGTTTTCACAAATTATTTGTCAAAGGGCTTATGTCAATAAATTTAAATCGCATACAAATGAACATATCGAATGATGTAAATAATTATTCTATATAAAATAATTAATTGACATTGATTTACCTCATAGTTTAACGTAATAAAATTTTGAACAAAAGTTAAGTCGAAAAGAATAATTTTTATTTTGAATAATAAATGAGAAAACACAATATTTTTAACATAATATTTATAAATTACTAAACACTTAATATACATATGGTAACCCTATTAATTTTAAGAATAAATTAAAATTGTTTGATTAATTATTTGAATACCTTATTTGAAATTTAAATTATATTAATTTTTACATTAATCAATTGTTGTATATTGAGATCGATTAGTATATAGTTTCTTAATTAGTAGTTTAAATATATTATTTATTATTTTCTTATTTTTTTTTTTTGAAATGTTGATTGGTTTTGTAATTGTAATACAGTCACAAATTATGTGACCACATGTTATATTCGAAACTTATTGGTTTCTGTAATGTTGCTTAAGAAAATAGCAATATTGTTATAAAATCTAATACCCATCATAAAAGGAAAGTTTATTTTTTATCTTAAATATTGGAAAATTATAGGTCCATTTCTATATAATATTATAGTATGGGCTTTAATAAGTGACAGATCTAAATAACATATTGCTAAACCAAACATAAATATTGTCAATTGAAAGCATATATGCGATTCAGATTCACTTAAATTTTTACGATAATGAAAAAAAAATTTAAGATTATCTAGTATGCAATTGGCATTTATATGCAATTTATAAATATAATCTAAAAGTTAGTGTTCAAAAGGGAAAGTATTGTCTTCTAATTGGACTATAAGTGTAAAAAGAGCGAAATAATGAGTCGGTAATTAGATATCTACTAGCGACTGTTACTATTTTTGTACGCATATCTAAGTAGATTTTCATAAAAATTACTAGGAACCAAAATTATATTTTTGGAGTTATATTGAGATTACAACTACTCCAATTTTTTTAAAATTCATTCACAATAATTCATAAAATTTGAAATAATTCATAATGCTACATATTTTTAAACGTTTGAAATAGGTTTATTAGAGTTTGTAACGTAGTCGCAGGAAAAATATGCAATCATTATTGCTTATTGCGCATGCTTACTTTGCATATATGTTAGATCCGGCGCTGCGTAGCCGGATATGTGATGATGTCATTAGATTTTCTTTTATTACAATGACAATATTAAGTGACTTACCGTTTTCATCTTTTACTACAGCACCGTTTAAGTCCTTCTGTACATTATGGGTTTTTTATTTAATTTTAAAAATGACTTTATTAACCAAAAAAAAAATAGGAATAGAAAATTTAAAAAATAAAAATTTTTTGTCATTCATTTCAATTGTTTTTAATTTTCAATTTATTTTTTGGGGCCATGGACAGATACACCGAAAAAGTAAAAAAAAAAAAAAAATCTCACTAAAACTAAACGAAATTTTAAATTTGTATTTTTGAAAACCCTAATATGGTTGTTAAAAGATAATCTAATAAATATTTTATTGTATAAAAGTTTTTTTTGAAAATTTATGATTGTAAATTGTAATTTTGTTTCTGTCTTTTCTTTTGTATTTTTCATTTGATTGAAGAATATTTATGTAACATTAACATAAGTACAACACTATAACATTAAATGCAAAATACAATCGCATATTACAGAAATTAAACGTCATATTATCATTTTGTTCACTATGCTATCAAACTAAAACATCTGAATTACATGTAAATTCGTTTAAGTAACAAAAACAAAAAAAAATTGGCTTTCATTACAATTTTTCTTACCTACACTCTTTTATTTTCAATTTACCATTTGCATAAATTTTATACAGTAGAACAGATCACGATTAATTTGATTGCTCTGTCAAATATCAGTTATGTATCAATAATAAGAAATAAACGAAAATAAAATTTGTTACTTACATAAATATTAACAATATCACTTTAGTGATTATTTTAACAATAATATAAGAATAAGAAAAGTTTGAAGGCACCTTCCAATATTGAAAATTTAATAATAAATTTTTATATTTTAATTTAACAAATATATTTTAGCAAATTATATTGTTGTCAGTGTTACCGTTTGAAATTCTAAAAAGATTATAAAATTTTTAATTTGACTTGTATTTAAGATTTAGGCAATATGAAACGGTACAATTATGCTTGATGAAAAGATTCTAGGATGATGTGTTACGTAAATTTAACGCAGATGAATAAGGAACATCAGGAATAACGAGCGCCAAAATTGGAACAAAAATCATTCGCTTGTCGTTAAATAGCTGTTTCATACCCTTTAACGCTATGAAAACTGTAGAATATAGTAGAGACATGAGCAGAATGTGGTAGAGATATGAGTAGAATGTAGTGAAGATATTGAATCCAGATGTCAAAATTACGTGTCAACTCGAAAAATTTATTTGTTAATTATTTTCTCTTTAATATTTTTTAAAATTTATTATTCAAACTGAAACGTCAACACATTTTCTCTTCCTTTGAACATTAATTTTTTTATACACTTATATGAAAGTGTTATGTTTGAGGTTTTTTATTGTTACTATTTTTTTTTTGTATAAAAATTTGTAAATTTTATACTACTAACATGAATAACATTAAATATTATATGTATGTATGTATATTTATACAAATTTGAAATTATATTATTTTGTTAACGAGTTTTTCGTCAATTGAGGTGAGGTGGTAATTTAAGGTTTTTTCAATCGCAATTCAATCGTTTTTAAGTAGTTTATTATATGGACGATATTTTTATAATGTTTCTATTTAAATTGTGGTTAATTGCGGTTGATTTATTTTTATTGGAAATTTTTATAGATAGTGTTATTTATTTAAGGTTTAACTGTACAATAATGAAAAATATGATTATTGTTGTTGTTTTTTTTTTAACAAATAAAATATCTAAATTATTGTATGATTACAATATGGAATAAATTAATAATAAGAGTTTATTTCTTTGAATAAATTATGTTATATTAGCGATTGGTTTTTATTATTTTTGGAATTATTTTTTTTTTTGTGTTA